TTTAATATTTTGACGACTCTTATTTATCAATAAAGACATTAAAATGTTAAATAGATTTAGTTTAATTTTTTTAATAAATGCACCTTCTCCTAAATCCCCCTCCACTCCCCGATTTAATATTGGAACATTAGAAGAAATGGATTTGAGAAATAAAAGAATATATATCATTATGTTTACAAAAATTAAAATTTTTTTCTGTAAAAAAATGTAAAATTTATGATATCAATACTATTCATCTTATCTTTTAATAACAATTAAAAAAAATATTCTTAAATGATCTATACTATCATGTTTTTATAAATTACTCCTTACATTCTAGAATAATTATATAATGATAGATGATAATAATAGTCCTTTTATTTTTCATTTAAATTAAAAATTTAGAAATAGTTTATATTTTTATTTATATTATATTTAAAAAATAAATAAAATTTAAAAAATTATTTTAATTTAAAAATAAATAATTAAAATTCATAAATAATTATAAAATTAAAACTAAAATAATTATTAATTTACAATAAATTTTAAACAAAAAATATTTATTATTTAAAAAAAAAGAAAAGAAAGAGTAACTATAAAATATGAAAGAAGAAGTAATTTATGATAATTTTTTCATTTATCGTCATTACTGTCTAACCTAGTTGAAGCGAACCGGGTAGTGAAAGCAACCCAAATCACGTGAATGGAGCACCGTGCCCGACCCGATAACGGAGGGGAGGCTATCTGCATTCCCCCTTCTAGCATTCCCCCTTCTACGAAGAGAAAATACCAGTTGAAAGCACTGAAAAACGAAAAGCAAACGTAACCGCCGAATCACCCGACTGTTTTTTGGTTGGGCTACCAATGGAGACAGCGGCTGCCGGCGGTGCCCTCGGCGGGGATGATCTAGCTTCTTCATCTCCCATCACAGCCATATCTCGGTGGACCTTTGCTGTGTCGCAGCGGTACCAGTACTTCCTGGACAAGACTGTCCCACACATCTTCTACCGCTGGATCGCCTGCCTGGCGTTGCTATTCTTCTACTCCCTGCGCGTCTACTTCGTCCAAGGCTTCTACATCGTCACCTACGGCCTCGGCATCTACATGTTGAATCTTCTTATCGGGTTTCTTTCCCCTCAGGTTGACCCCGAGATTGAAGATGGACCTACCCTCCCGACTCGTGGATCGGACGAGTTCAGGCCCTTCGTTCGCCGCCTCCCGGAGTTCAAGTTCTGGTGCGTTGCGTGCTCCCTTTTTATTCCTTATTCACTAGTAATTTTGCCTGATTTCAGGGTTTTGTATTCCCTGATTTAGGGGATTTATTAAGTAAAGTTGCAATGTATTTAATTGAAATTCAATTAAAAGTATAACACCTAACAATTAGGTTTATTATTATTTATGACAAAAATGGTGATGATCTTTGGATGTGAATTTAGAATACTAGAAATTGCCAGAAGGCCTGAGTATTTTGAGGCCTGTGTATAGATGCAGGTCCTTTTGAAAATACTGTCTGCACTGGCTAAGGGTTCTTCTCTTTTTCTATATGAAAAAGGTGAGAAATTGTGCTCAATTGCTTGGAGTATTTAGTTACAAGTTAGTATCAATGTATCATATATCATCACTATGAGCTTACCCTGTTGTTTAGTGCAAATGCTAGGTCATTTTTTTGAAGGATTTGGATGTCATATAGTGGGTTATCTCCTCCTTGTTTTGGTTCCCCGTTGGTAGTGATGATTGCATGAAGTGTGTCGATGAAGGCACATAAAGATGTTGTTGTCCTATAAAAAATCAGATTCCTTACCAGTTACCACACAATATCTACTTCTTTAACTACATGCTTTTAGTGCATTTTTTACAACTAGGGTCATGGGGTTACAACTTAACACAATAGAAACGTTAACAGGAAATCACGAAAGTAACAAAGTGGTTATAATTATCTAGGGGCTATTATTGCGTGGTGTTGGCTGTAATATGCAGCAAATTTTTGTGCCCCGTTTTCTTCCATTCCATGTTGAGTCGATTGATTGTTGGAGCCAAATAAGTAATACTCCTTGAGTTTTATAGCATATTCTTGCTTGTCTAGTGTGCCTATTTCTACTTTTTGGGATACTTTTGCTCTCTAGTGAATTGGTGCTTTTAAATTTCTTATTTTTGTTTTTTTTTTAAGAATTCATAAGAAGGTGCCATTTTCTGTTCTGATTTTGCCCCTTTCTATGTTAAGGTACTCGATTACAAAGGCTTTCTGCATTGCTTTTGTTATGACATTCTTCAGCATGTTTGATGTACCTGTATTCTGGCCCATACTGCTTTTCTACTGGCTTTTACTATTCATTCTGACCATGAAGAAGCAGATACTGCACATGATCAAATATAAATATGTCCCTTTCTCATTTGGGAAACAGGTATTCCTTGAACCTTCTTACCTCAGATCTGTTGGTCTTGTTATTTTCTGTCCTTACTTTATTCATTATTGATATATGCTTGATTGTGCTAACTAAACTTAAGATATTTATTTCTTCATTTATCTAATATTGATTCTATGGCTGTTCTTGTTAATCAAACTTCATCTTCATTTCTTTCAATAGCGATATGATGGAAAAAGGGCACCTTCAGCTGAAAGTGCAAGCACTTCTAAGGATTGACTTAGGTAGTAGGATCAATGTTGCTTCACTTAAGTTATATATCAGAGGTGGTCCGGCCTTTCCTTTTCAGTATCCCCCACTTCAGTTTACTTTTGACAGCTTAAGATCTGCAGGGATGTGCTGGTATATGTTGTCTCTGAGACTAACAATGGGACACAGAATAATTATTCTTTTCCCTGGCAATTTTCTGGGTCACCATTCAGATATCGTCAAAATTTCAGCTGGCTAATTCATGTATAGGAGAGGCATGTGTTGCTTAGGCCTTCATCCCATGACTTGTACTTACAACAATATCAGTTAAGGAGTGCAATTAGTTTTCTCAAGTTCAATTTTGAAAATTGTACTTTTCTTTAGTTGAAATATGGAATTGCCCTCCTGTTTGTTACAATGCAATGCCTATCAGCTGAGCAGGTTTTATGATCTTTTAGTTTCTGGGTCTCACATTTTTCTTATGAAGCAGGTATAGTTTGAATGCATGTTTTTCTTCCTATCTTGGATGTCAATTGAAAGCTTTAAAAAAATCTTATTAGATACAGATTGAAATGCCGAACTTCTGATGAGCCGAGCATCTGAAACTTTATTGAATGAGAACAATGATGCAAAATATTGAACTAAGACAGGAAGACATGGCAACCCTTTGTATTTATATCCAAACCAAATGCAAAAATTGGAGCACACCTCTGCAGAAACTGATGCAAACAAGTCCACATGGTATTTTGTATGGAACTCAGAAAATATCCTCTTCAAACCAAGTGGGGAAAAGTAGATCAAGAATTCGGCCGGTAATAAGCATAGACTGCATAGAAGCTCTGTGCAAAAGTAAGCAGCAGCAACACAACAGCGGCGAGGAGAGAGATGACGGCCCAAGGATTGTTGAAGTACCTGTGCTTCAAACTCGCACACCAAGTATTCCACTTGTGATTGTAATACCGGTTTACATCCTCCGACAACCGGGAAAGGTAGCTGTCGTTGATATCAAACACCACTTCCTGACACATGCGGTTGAAGAGGTCAGCCACCGCCGCATCACTGCCGAGCCAATGCTCAATTATGCCACAGTAATGGAGATACCCGACGTCCTCAGGGGAGTTGATCAAGTTATCCAGGAATATCACGTATGTGGTAATGTCATTGCCGCAGTCAAGATGGCACTGCTCAAATGCGATGAGGTTGAGGAACAGGGATTTGGTACCGTCATGGATCAAGAGGCGGGGAATCTTCAGTGTCCCGTTCTCGAATTTGATATCCCAGAAGCGGTCTGTCTTCCTCTTCCTGAACTTGACACCGGCAGCCTTGAGCTCCGTGACGCAATGAATTAGTTGCTGTCTCCGCTTATCAGCAACTCTGGTGCGGTGAGACGATTTCTTGATCCAGATTCTGGGTTCGGGTTTGGGTCCGGAACGCAAGAGGCTTCGCCGGAAAACGTCGAGGCAGTGAAGGCCACCCAAATCGGACAAAGGGTCGAACGTCTGCGTTTGTCTTTGTCCAAGAGATGACTCTAATCTGTTTCGATCAATTTTCGTCAATGGCTCATCGGTAGGCATTAATGGGTCGAAGAATATGAGTGCTAATTTAGCGACTTGCCCCTTCTGCTCAGGATCACCACGCTGAAGACCCAGAAGCCGATCAAGTACAAACAGGGGAAGCTGATTTTCCAGCATTAAAATGTCTCTCTGAATCGAATGCATCGAGCCACGCATTGCAAAAACAGGGTCATTTCGAGGGTAACCCAGTTGCTTGAATCCAACGGCAACCCCTTGAAATAGCTCAAGAACAAAGCAACCGTCGAGTACCATCATCTCCACAAACTCATTGCTGCTAAGATAGATAGTTCCTTCATAACACCCACGAGCCTTCTCCTCGAGGTCTTTCATGGAATCGAGGTAAACCTTTATATCCTGATTAGTCCGTTTGAGTACACGGTGGAGGGACCGCCACTTATGGCTGTCCATTTGGCGCAACCGTCGTTTGCCGTGGTGGTACGGCCCCAGAGACACAATCTGAGGGACATAAGCCTTGTCATCTCCTTCCCTCAGGTAATGGGGGATCTCGTAGATAGACAGCTTCCCCCACGAACCCGCCGCATCGTCTTGCCGTGCCAGCTCGAGTTTCTCTCTGATCGAAATCACCCACTCATATTCCGGTGACTTTTCAGATTCCGGTGACTTGGGTATCTCTTCTACCTCTTTAAACTTTTCTTCATCCCCTTTGATCACAATCTGCAGGGAATCTGCCGGCGCCTGCTGTTGCTTATGCAGCAGCAGTTGCTGCTGTTGCTCCGGTAATTCCTGCGATTTGGTACCTGGAAGTCCAGATTCTACCGTTTCTCTGAGTTTCAGAGTGATGAGGTACCAACTCAGAAGCTCTTTGTTAAACACAGCAACCATTTTGGATTTGCCAGGAACAGGAATTCTGAAACCTAATTGGAAAGTTTAATAACTGTTGATCTCTATTTTGTTTAATGATTTTAATTGTCATTGAACCAATTCCAATTGCTTGTACTCTTAAAATTTAACTATTATGCTCATGGAGCCCCCTTTGGGTCGGAACACACAACATTTTTATCCTTTTGAAACTTTTTAGATGGAACTTTAGTTACTTTACATCTGAACACATAATTTTTTTTCTTTAATTTTGCAACTTTTCTTTGATTTGTTCAGAAAATCATTTAGCAACTTAAGTGATCAAGAAATGCCTAGCTTAATAGAGAAGGTATATACCATTAGGAAATCGAAGGTGGATGATCGAAGGTATTGATGCATAAAATTAATTTTGTTTTCAAAAAAAATTCTAATTACATAATGAAATATAATTTTTTATTAATTTTTTACTCTCATAACTTTTTATTATTTCTTTACACTCTTTATTCGCACGTGTGGCTTCAAAATATTTTATTTTTACTAAAATTAATATTGTTAACAAATTATTTAAATTATTAGTGATGTATAAAAATAATAAGGTAAAAAGATAATTATAGAAGATAAAGAGAGCAAGAACACAACATTTAGGTGAAAATTTTAATGACGAAAAAACCACGAGCATGAAAATAACTTCACTGTAAAGAGAATGTGTATAAAGATGCCTTTCTCAACGTACCAAGTAGTTATTTATTTACATAGACATCATAATCATTTATTCAATTCATTTTCATTAGGTTTAATTTTTTATAATGTTATTTAATATATTATTTTTATTTTAAAAAATATTTATAATGTATATTAAATAAGAAATTTTATTTAAATTTTATTTAATTAAAAATAAATATAAAATTTTATTAATAAATTATTATATTTTTATTTTATTGAACAATAAAAGGTAAATCTACTAAATACGAACGAAGGGGGTATGTTTTAAGTCTAACTAGACTTCTTCTAAAGGAAGATACTTTTTTTTTTTTTTTCAGTTTCTCGTCCGGTATTTGAGGTTTTGCTCCGATTAATCCAGACCTGACCCGCGTCGCGCACTTGAAAATGGTGGATGAGTCTCCCAGCGAGGACTGCTGCGTTCACAAGGTTTTGAACTCGAGACCTTACTTAAGCTGGAACAAACCGCTTACCACTTTATGCAACCTCTCGTTGGTGAAAGATACCTTATTTGTCTCCAATTAGAACTCCTTGTTGCAGTTGAATTGGACTTCTACATAGTGTTGTATTATTATCCCCAAAAAAGGAAAAAAAATGTGAAGACCCGTGAATATTTTATCGAGTTAATCATTTAAGATAACATCTAAGGTATGTGTATGAGTCTTGTTTGATGAGCTTCTATGGGTGTGGTGTGGAATCCTCACATCTTTTTCCTTGCTGCAGTTTTCCAAAGCATGTATCTGGAATTTTGACACATGATTAAAATGAAACAGACGATTATCAATTTTTTAATTTATGTTATGATGTGGTAGGGTGGAGGAGGTGGGACATGATTCATTCATGAGTAAGCTGGAAACTTGCAAATTCCAATTTTGCCTTGTGGATTTTTCTTCTTGGTATTGCAACTACTTTACAAAATCACGGAACTTGTACCAAGGAAAAATAAATTACAGAATGGAACAGCTAAGCATAACAACTTTCAATGCTGTGAAACAAGCACTGGGTCCCTGGATTAGAAGAACTAAGAAAAAGCACATATATGTTTATATAACGAGGACGTACCGTAGAAGGCCCAGAGTGCAGGGTGGGCACGGTATGCCATTGCCTGGAACATGTCTAGTCAATTAAGGGCACTGGATAGAAAAATGAATACTCAGAAAGATAAAGATTAAGCATGCAAAAGAAATGACATTGCTTTGCACATAATAAAATAAGTTTTCCAGTTGCTGCTTTGAAGTTTTTGATAAATGGCAATCTTTGTACAACAGTATTGATCCAACTATAACATAGATGGTCCTCCTGTCCAGTGGTTAACATAGATCAGGATGGAATTGGTGGCATAGTCATGCTGAACTGAACACCATTATTTCATAATTTTTCGTTAATACCTCCCCAAACAGCAACAGAGAGAGCTCTCAAGCATCGAACACTTTTAAGAACTGCTAACCAATTTCTCTGCTGTTTCACCAGGCTTGTAAGATATGCTAGGATTTGGCCCATTCTTAACAGGATAGGAAGCCTCCATTGCAATGCCACATTTGCCCGTCTTAGTTTCAAACACATTTCGCTGTATCTTGATGTACCCTTCCTCGCCCCAGTATTTGCCCCATGAGTTCCTCACAAGCCAATAGTCCACACCATTCTCTGTGCCATACCCAACAGCAACAACACCATGGTCTAGAGCTGTCCCACATTCCCCAGTAAATACGCCCTGAGAAAATCCAAATTCCTCAGAAAAGTTAAAAAATTTTACTTGATACATCTACCTCATCAACAATCACCAATAAGCAAACATAATTTTGGTAGATACATCTACCTCATCAAAAATCACCAATAAGCAAACATAATTTTGGTAGATACATCTACCTCA